CAAAGTTAAATGAAACTTCTTTGTTGAATAATTTCGCTCATCGAAAAAGTCACCGAATGCATTTATCGTACTTCAGAAAGATAAGCTTATAAGAAACACTAATGATTTTTTTGGTATTGCATTTGACATATATACAAAGTGATTTAACATAGAAGAACCTGTAAAAGAACAAATATATATATTATATAAACAAATATTATTTTGGACAGTGAAATTGTCTAGCAATGATCCGTGAGCCAAGCCAATTAATCTGCCCGCGTTCATTTATTCCTAAATCTAATATATGCATTAGACCTACAAGCCAAATAGAATGCCGCAATTTGTCAACCGCGTGTCCAAGTAACCAAAATCACATATGGACTTTTGCTACAAACATACATATATGTGTGTATGTATRTATATATACATACTATATGTTTAGAGTATGTAGAGAATGCCTTAACAGTGTAGCAGCTGTGCGCTGAGCGGATTTAAATTTTCACACAATAATTTCGCGCGTATAAATGGTGGCCAATACAAGAGCCGAAATCAATTCGCTTACAAAGCAAATGGTAAATGGTTAAAGGCGAATGAATGGTAAAATAGCAAATGGTTGAAACCGCAGGGCCTATTAGCCACATGCGCGTCTGCGTGACATTTCGATATCAATCAAAGTTTCGCGTTCGCTTTTATTGTTATTGTTGTTGTTATTGTTGCTGCTGTGACACGTGAGCTATGAGTGTGCGTGCGAGTATCCAATTCCACATTTGCCAGCGACCACACCAAAACCGGTTGCGCGCTGAGCGTTGGGCGCGTAAAAAAGACATTTTGACAAATTTAAGTAGCGCCATCTAGACGCAAATTTAATAGGTTTTCTGCGGCCTGTCACAATAATTCATCAGTCAGCAGAGCGCTACATATGTGTAAAGCGTGAGCGCGTTTCATTTTGCGCTCGCTCACGCCACTCAAGCGGCACGCCGGTCGGGTGTTGTAGCAAAGTAGGAAATAATGACACCATTTCGATTAGTTTACATGTGTGTGTGCGTTCATGTGCATATTATAATATATGTAGTATGTATGTATGTGTAAGTTTTTGGAAATCATGAAGGTGTTGGAGAGTGAAAATCTGCGCCATGCATGCCAAGGTCACACACATACATATGTGTGCATGTACCATCTACATATGTGAAACGCTGAAATTTCATATACACCCCTCCGGTTGTGGAGTGTGGCCAACATACCCTGCCCACCGAATAATTTTGTAAATGATTTTATTTTATTTTATTTCATTCGCATTTCGAATGAATTATTTGCTTTGGTGTGCCAGCCATCTCCCCCCACCCATCATGCCACAAGCGCTAAGGGCGTTATGCCACACACATGCAATAAAGTGCCTTGCGAAAGGGATCACGCGTAGCGCTTATTCGGCCAAAGTGTGGCGGGGCAGCGGTGAGGCATGAATGACGTGCGCGCATAAATTTTATTGCTTGGCAAAACTTTTTCCCGCGTGAAAACCGAAACCGAAAATAGTCAACAAAATAAAAACGGCAGCAACAACAAACAACATGTGGAAATTTCACAAACTGATTGCGCTGCAATGCGCCTCACATGCTGCGTCGCCCATGTGGCATAAACAGTGCGCAACGCTGTGGCACGTCAAGGCAATGCTCGGCATGCCGTTGACTGCTTTGGCATGGCCTGAAGTGCCCTGAATTGACTGCGCACTGATTTGATTTATTTTATTTGCTTTGTATTACACCCTCAAGTGCTTCCCCAATGAGACGTGTTAATATTCGGGGCGTTCGATGAAAAATTACCCGAATGACTCTTTTATTTGCGAAAATTAAGTGGTAAATATTATACCTTACCCTCTGCTGTATTTATTTACTTATTGCATTCAAATGTGATATTCGGTTTATTTCATTGAGTTACATAAGTAAATTAGTGCAAATATTGTGGAAGGACAATTTAAAGTTCAATAGCGTACGATTATCTTAATGTCGTGCGTACTAATACATAGATGAATTAACTGGAGGAAATGTGGTAATAATTTACACATTAGCCGTAGAGTGTATACTATCAGTACAGTCTTAACCTTTTTTTTTTTTGTTTTTGTAGACCGCAGTCATTGCTTAATGGCTCACAACCTGGAACTAATAATGTGGTATATCTTACATAACGAGAATTTTGTTCTTTGTAAACACAAATGATTTACTCATTCGTTCACATTAATATTGTCGCCTTCAAATAGATCTCATTCGATATTATTCTCTTATTACTGCAGGCAAAAAATAGTGAGACTAATTTAAGTTTGTATCACTGCTGATTTTTACGATCAGTGAAATTATTCAACAAAGAAGTTCCATTAAATTTCGTGTGCGCAATTAAATTTCTGGTGCCAAAGCGTTCACAGTGTTGAAGAAGGCTTTTGGGGATAATTGTTTACAGGAAGGATGAGGTTAAACAATTTTGAAAAATCATTTGGCCATAAGAAAACTAAAAGTACGATTGACTCCAAAACCACTCAATTTTTGTGAAAAACAGCGGAATTATGGGTAGACAACTCTTAGTTTTTGCTCCACGACAATGCATCACTCTTACTTCGTGAGGTTTCGCTAAATATTCAACCCATACTTTTTCTTTACCACCGTATTTACCTGATTTAGCTTCGTGCGGCTTCTGGCTATTCAGCAAACTGAAACTACCGTTACGAGCAGAACGTTTTAAGTCAACTGAAGCCATTAAAAGCGAAGAAAGGTAGATTGGAAAAAAGTTGGCAAAAGTGTATTCGGGCCAAGGCCAATTACTTTGAGGGAGACGACATAAATTTCGAAGAATAAGCTAAGAATTTTAAAAGTATGAACAAAGTCTTACTATTTTTTGCTCATAGTAATTATACAAAAGATTTTCAGTCAGAATTATCGATTTGGCTTTAAGAAACTTTTAGAAACTTCAACATAATGTTCTGGTAGCGCTTTTGGGTAATTATCCAGCGGTTTAACCGAGCATTGGCTTACAGGGTATTGATTAGATCACATTTGTTCAGCTTAACAGATTATCTTAAGATCTATTTCAACTAAGCGTACTGCTACTAGATGTGAAAAAGCGTTTTGCTAACCGCAGATCATTTCAGATTTTTTAAAAACTGTATAAAATCAGTCTTCAATTACTATTGCATTGTAAGTGTATTATTCAGTCTCAGTGCACCTGGGACCTTTCTTAAGCTATCGTACGATGTGGGATATTAAAAAAAAAACAAATGAAACTGCATCTTCAAAAATATCTAGTGCTCATTCAGCTTTCATGAAAGCCGAATATATAATAGCGAGCAAAATAGGCATCGATTGCTCTAAAATGCTGTGGAGGAGCCATTGGCAAGAGGTGGGGTCTCTCTCCGAAAGTATTCCTTTGCTCTATAACACCATAGTCAAGCCCATTATATTCAATGGTATCTTTATGTAGTGGAGGGCTTTGGAAAAGACACTTGCATTCGACGGGCAGCGCTCATCAGCCTGTGTGCTGCACTAAGGCACACTCCAAGTGTAGCACTTAACGCCATCTTGCAGATAGTGCCGTAGACGGAAGGTGTATGGAAGTGAAAGTTGATATGATACTCAGAGAATCTGGGTTCTTAAAACAACGCGTATCTGATAACTTGGATATCCCCACACACTTTGACTGCATATCAGATCATCCAGATGATGGAGTTGCCAAACCGAATTCCAGCGGCTCGATCTCTTCCCATATACCGACAAGGGAGCTATGGATGGGAAGAAGCCATTGGAGGAGAGGGCCAGTGTGCTTATTTACGCACGGGTCAAAGTTTGGGGGAAAGGTTGGTGGCGCGGTTTACTATGGGGAGCTCTCTATCAACAGTTTCAGACTTTATCACTATTGCAAAAGCCTTTTGGCTCAATGGACTACATATACTAGTCCACATGCCACCATCGATCAACCATCTAACGTAACCTATTCTCTAACTAGTAGTATTATCGCTCTAGATTACGAAAAGTCCTTCGTTATCGACCTCCATGACTTCTTTTCCTTTAATCCGTAAGGTTAGGAATGGAAAGTTATGTTTAATATGTAGTCTAAACGAAATCCCAGTCATATAAGTAACTAATTTTTATATATGAAAAAAAATTATGCCCTTTTTACAGCGCATACGCACCACAGCTTACATTGACACCACATTACAATTCCATCTGCCACATTTCTCTCTCACTTAACTCCTACACGCAAAAAAGTGCAATCCATAAGCGGCATCCTGCTGCTGATGCAATGCCCAAATATAAATAAAGTGTCATGGCGACGAGAACGAAAGAATACATCAAAACAACAAACACCTGCTGAGCGGCGGCGACCGCCCGCCGTCACCTTCACGGCTGTCTGGAGACGTGGTGGCAAATGTTGCAACAACTGGGTTGCCAATACACCAAATCCAGTGCAATAGCGATGGAAAGGAGAGCAGCAAGTGGTGGACACATACATAAGTAAGCGAGAAATGATGTCGGCTAATAAAGTCATGAATTATTTGCGGCGCTGTTGCAGGGCCTAAAGCTGTTGTGCCCACTGAAATGGAACTCAGTCAACTAGACCCATTGAGTGTGGCGCAACCGAGAGCACCTCACATTAGGTTGCATAAATAAGCAAACGCGTTATGGAGCGACAGCATTAATGGGACATTCAGCGGGGGGCGGGGGGGAGAGCGCACCTTCCTTTGCGATTGCGCAATCACTCGTGGCAAGTTGCGCTGAGGCACGCTGGCGTCTTTGAATTATGTTGGCGCTATTTTTGTGCACATTAACCCATTAACGCTTGGCAGATGCGTTTTTGTTGTTGCAACCTGCACTAAGGGGGGGCTGCACATATTTTGCGTCACTTCAGCATTGCAATGCGCCATGCAATTGAACCAATAAACAAGTCAAAGTATTTCATTTTCTCAACATTTCTCCTTCACCTCCGTCTTTACACTATTTATGTTTCTTATTTATATGGTATTTTATTTCGTTTCGTTGCAGTTATGGCGCCAGTTATGATTTAGCGTCGCGGCGGAAGAATGCCACGCGTGAATCCACAGCCACGCTGAAGGCCTGGCTCAGTGAGCACAAGAAGAATCCATATCCGACCAAAGGCGAGAAGATCATGTTGGCCATTATCACCAAAATGACACTGACACAGGTGTCCACGTGGTTTGCGAATGCGCGCCGACGCCTCAAAAAGGACAACAAAATGACTTGGGAGCCAAAGAATCGCACCGAAGACGAAGATGAGGACGCGTTGGCCTCGGACGAGGAGAAACCACGACACAGTGAAGAGATGAGCATGAATAGCATTAGTGTTGGTGGCGTTGGCTGTGCGGAGCGCAGGCGGCCACTCGGCATGGAGTACCCTGGCGGCGCCATAAACGTTACAATTGGCAACAACACAACAGTTGCGGCAAATACATCGACGACGGCGGCAGCAGGTGCCGTGGATGTTGGCGTGAGTGGCGTGGGTGCAACAATTGCGGCTGCGACGTCGACGGTATCGGCGGCAACCAACCAACATTCCCACATCGGCGGCACGAGTGTGGGCGCCGTCGGTGCAATACAACCTGCAAAAGGTAAGCTCCCTCCAGTCAAGCCGTCTGCAAGACATACAACATATTACCACTGCAAAGGCGCATTACAGAGCCACTTTGGTTTGAGCAAGGTCCTGTGCGCTGCCGCGGCGCATCAGCATTGTTTGACTGGCACTGGCGTGTGGGTGGCATAATTGAATGCCTGCACGTGCGCGTCCCTTGCGCGTACGAATATGCGCGTGCTGTGTGTGTGTGCTTTTTGTGCTCTTAAATACTTCACTTGTTCATCACAAATGCAATTCAATGGCGCAATTGTTCTGTTGCTTGCTTTATTGGCGACTCTATTGTCTTGTAGGAAGTTTCGTTCGCTGCAATTGCTGCTTCTGCGCCGTTGTTGTGACTACTGATTTGCTCATTGTTGTTTTTGCAGTTATTTCGGCAGCTGCTAACTGCCAGCAACTAAGTGATTTCTGGTTTTTGAATTGTGCGCTTTGTATGCGAGGCGCCATATACCATTGTGGCACACCTAATGGACGAAATTCACGGGCATTTTCGCTTTATGAAACAGCATTTGTTGTTGCACTCAGGGGTTTACTTGAAGTTAAAAATTCTTCATTATTTATGATCTGTGATTATACAAACTGTTCTAACGAGCGTGTATAAAATTTTTATAAAAGATAACAAAGTGTACAGGGTGTTCCATAATTGTCTTTAATTTGGAGAAGTTGTTAAAACAAGCAACAGCCTTAACTTTGGCTTCACAGGTAGATTTCTAATATCAACAATGTTTATAAATACAGCAAAAAACGTAACTCATAATCCAAGTTTCAAAAACATGTTGTCGAATAAAAAATTTCTCTTAAAAGAACTTGATTTTGATCGATTAATTTGTATTGCAACTATATCCATTAGTACTCCGATCTAAAAAAAAAAAAACCTTAGATCATAGCCTTAACCTGGGTAATAATCCATGCCACATTTCGCGAGTATACCTCAATACGATAAAGCTTTTCATAACAGAAGTTTATTTTTATCAGTCAGTTTGTTTGGCAGCTATACATTATATAAGTCGAAAATTAGTTTGATGTTTGTAATGGTGTAGGCAGTAATTGTTTCCACTCTTCATGCAGCAATCTTGTGAAATAAAACAAAGTTTTTTAAACAATGACCTAATTTGAAAGGTCCGAAAAAGGCCCGAGAAACTGGTGAGAAAAGGACGTGTGCAAAATTTCAGATTGATATCTCAAAAGCTAAGGAGCTAGTTTTTATATATTTACAAAGATAGACATATCATCGGATAAACGAATAGAGAGATTGATATGAGCAAAGCGACTCAGCTCAACATACTGATCATTTATCTATACATTTTATGGGGTCTTCCACGTACTTCTGGTTGTAAGTAATTTCATCATAAATTTAAAATACTCTAATTAGTGTATACAAATAATAGAAAAATTTATTTGTTATAACAATTTTCAAATAATATGGTACGAATATATTGCATTATTCACAATTTTTCAATACCTACAAATTTTGACAATCTTGACTTGAAATATTCTGCATTCCTTAGTAAACTTGGTGTTAAAATTTTTCTAAACTTAAGGATTAATTTTAAAAACTCTGCTTTTTAGATATACTAAAAGAAAACAAACAACAGAACAACCCATTTACTTGGGAGTGGCCAGAAAAGATTCTTTTACATATGCCTCAAGCAGCTCACGACCGGTCTTAGACCAAATATTCTTTAGATAGCTAAAAAAAACCATTCGTTTGAAGGCGAGCTAAGATGAGAAGGCAAAACATACCTCGCTAGGGTTGTGCGCTGGGTTTGTGAAGCGCCACGTCCAACATATGATTAAAAGGACACAGTTATTGATTTATAGCGCTTTAAATAGTTTTAAACAGTACCGTTATGTGGGGAGTGGGCGGAGTTATCAACCACTTTCATTAATTTTCATATTTTCTTTTCTCATAAAAAATGTCTCAAGTGAATTTGGCTACTGTAACACATAGCCTAGGCGATCTGTACATTAAAACTATTAGAAGGCGGTGCCACCATCAATTTTTACTCATGTTACAGCTTGCACGGGCTCTCGATTAGTTTTAAGCAATACTTACAATTATACTCTGTAGCAATATGTTTCAAGAGTAAAAAATGTGGTTTAGTTGAGCATGGACCGTCCCGAAAAGAAAATTATTTTCATTGGTAAGACTTTGTAGGATATGGTGAAAATAAATTTCTTGTTCATTGTTGACGGTTCCCCAGATGAACACAAATTGTTTAAGTGGCAAGCATCACAAGGATTTGTTTTAAACTGAGCACAACAAGGTCGATTATTAAACCGTAAAAGTATGTGGTACTTTACACAAAAAAAAAAAGAAGCAAATAAATTGCTTAAAATATTGTAGAAGGTCAGTTGTCGCGTGAAAAATCATAAAATCAAACTTTTCCAAAATCTTCCATTAAATTCACCTAAAATAAAGGTGGTTCGTGTTAATCAATGCGTGCGCGTAAATTTCATATATCCAATATATGCACTTTGTGCCCTTTTCAATGCCAAAACATCCGTCAACATTTACAAAAACAAGAATAATAAGGGAAGAAAGTCAAAAAATAAGTGCAAATTTTGAATGTATGTCCATTTATGACGTTGAGGCCATTACCGAAGTGCCTCTCAATGTCAACTTGTGTCATCCACTCCACACCACTTCACGCCACTCCGGCACACTTCAATGCTCGACAAACGTGCTTTGAAGATACGTATATATGTATGAGCGTATGTTTGTGCATCTACAACAACAATAACGCCACTTGTCAGTCATCACTCCAATTTGCTTTCATTTCGAGTCAAAAAACCACCCTCATATTTTTCGGGATGTTTTGGTGTATCATTTTGCGCCAAATTAAATTCTCAACCTGATTTTATTTCACACACACACCCATGCATGAATACATAGAAACGATGATGTCGCCTTTTTGTTTGAGGGTTAATTTCATTTACGACCGCGCAAACAAAACAAAAACAAAGCTCTACTACAATAACAAATATAATAAAAGCATAAATACTCAAAAATTTGTATTATCGAGGAGAGCAGTGTGGAACGGTAGTAACTCCACAACCGCCGTGCCGTGTGGCAAGTAAAGGCGATGTGGGCGCAATGCAGTTTGGAAGTACTGAAATGAAAACAAAGGGCTGAAACTGAGAAAATCATTACCTTATTCACACCAAACCGACCGTCATCAAGTAGAAGAGATGAAAGGTGTGGCGATGGTTGGGGCGGCTGGTGAGTCGTGTGGCATTCAATTTAAGTGTCGTTGAGCTCTTTATTACGTTAGTGTGAATTTTATGCGCCACAGCCGCTCAACTCAAACCACTTGTAAACAAGAAAATGTGCGATACAAACCCATTAGGAAATTGTTGTTTTGGGATTTTTTTAAATTTTTACTTCAATTATATGCAATCTAGGAAAACAATTTTCGAAATTTTTGAGGATACTAATTTTTCAAAAAAAGTCGTTCATTTGTTTTCTTTGTTGGCGTAGGCACAGCTTACACGGTTATTGTCGAGTTTATAAAAGTGGCGCGTTCTTCCTTTTCGCAGTTTAGGGCCAATGGGAAATTCCAAGCGAAGCCAGGTCTCTGCTTTCTCTGCTCTGCTTTCTCCGGCATGCGTTTCGTCTGTTCCGACGACATGACCTAGCAGCGTTGCCACTGTCTTTTAATTCGCTGAACCATGTCAATGTCGTCGTATATATCATACAGCTCATCGTTCCATTGACCATACATCTTTCGCAGAACCTTTCTCTCGAAAAATCGTAACATCGACTCATAAGATGTTAACATCGCAGGACGGGGAAAATTAGTGGCTGTTAGACAACTCAAGCATATACGACCATAACAGTTCGGTGTCCATCGGTCCAGCTAATCACCATACCATCTAAATCCCGCACCCCATAAACTCCCCAAACTATCATTTAGGCACCTCTGATTGGAAGAATGCATTCACAGGCCAAAACCCTGTAAGCAAGAACCCCAGCCCTCAATAAATCCAACGCCCCGAATGTACTCGTAAGTTACGCGACCGTTAAGACGGATTATTGTCTCAACCTACAAGTAAACCTCTCATATAGAAGTCTCCTACTCCCTAGATACCTCTTCCTCTCTACATCATCATCGAAAATCTAAATATTCTGTGGCACAAGCTACAAAAAAGATGCGATATATGGTGCGAACAGCACGACGTCCGAGGCCTGCAACAGCTTGCATCTTAATTCTCACCAAATAACAGTCGGTACAGCCTTCCTGAATACTTACCGAACTTTATACAGAAATAACCTATAGATAACATACCTGCCATAAAAAAATTCCGACTGCATTAAAAAATTGGTTTCTCCATTGCGAAAATATCTAAATAATATCTAATATCCAAAAAAAAAAGTATATTCCGTTTTTCCTACTGGGCTACCAAAAATTTGCACACGCATTCGCATTATTGAAAGCTGGCAAGGACGCGTGTATAAAAACAGCAATACTGATAATAACTCTGTGTGCTGCTGGCTGCTGCATATGAAATAAACGCAGTGCTGCCACAATGCGACACAAGTGTGGTCGTCGCAGCTTCCAAGCACTTTCACTGTTGTTTCCTCTTTCTTTATTGCCACTGACTGGCTGTTGCACTAACAGCAACCCTTCTGTGTTGCGAGTCGCGAGTGAAGTGTGTTAGAAATGAGGGTGTTACCAACTTATGTATGTACATTAACGGTAGTTGCGGCCATGGCTTTTATGCGGCGCGTGTCTGGCGGCTACGTTTTTCGGTTAACCGACCAAATATCCATCGGTATTCCCCATGGTTTCTTTGTATGCTTGCTTCTTTGGCTATGTTAGCGACCGCTCGGTTTATTGCCGTCTGCTTGGCTATTTCTTATGCAAGCCCAGTGTGGAACAAACACACGCCGCCTTATTGTGTTTATAATCGTATGCAGCTCACGTCGGCCGGCATAAATCTAATGCGCCCTTTTCCGGTCTCCAATATGAGCGGCTT